ATAATAAAAAAGTTGTTTCCCCTTTTTGAGCACAAACCCCTTTACCGATCCACATGTACTGTTTTACACACATGTAATACCACACACACACACACACGACACACAGCATCACACACACAACACACACACACACACGCGCACACACAGATTAAATACCTGTATGGAGCACATTACGTTGCTTGGCTCCCTGTGGGCCATATCATCAGTCTGTTGGTCAGGCGGTGTGCAGAGCCACGTATCTGCATTAGAAAGGTGTTATAAATACATCACTTCTTTAGAAATATCTGTCTGGTTTTGTGTTCGTGATGTAGCTTCTGGGAGAGGATATGAGACAGAAAGCCACAGAGTTTGAAGCACTCACTGGGCTCAAGTTGAGAGAGGCGGTCTCTGTTCTTCTCAGTTACACTGAAGATCCAGTGAGGAATGTAAAGACAAACGCCTAACACATCCCTGACACGGAGGAAGAGATGACAGTGATAAAATAAATGTGTTAACCAGACAGAGTCAAGAGGTTTGCATAGACCTTGAAATGGCCACAGTTCTGTCAAAGTACATTCATTTGCACATACAGATAATCAACAATGTTGGTGTCATGCGCTAATGTTTACTGAGGGCTCATGAGCGCTAACATATATCTAACTAACATATAGTTTATATGGAAGCTCAGTCATACACAACAAATGAAAAAGGCATTCTCACCTGGTCAGAGAGTAGAAGAGCACGAGCTGAGCCAAGTCAGAGAAGGAAAGACGAGACTCAGACAGTTGGAAGTCTGACAGAGAAACAGAGAAAGAGTGGGCAGGATTACTGTCATATTCTGTCAAAAAACACATTCCTGGAAACACACAGAAGTTTGAACGAGGAAGGTCAAAGGGGGGACTTCCAGAGAAAAGCCACTGTGACCGTTTCACCACCTTTATATTCACACTAGCTTCACTTGCTAATAAGTCTATTATTTTCTGATACCACATGTTTTCTTTTTTTAGTGTCAGAAGGGTCACTTCAGCTTGTGATTTTACCTGTGCTTCATGCATCTGCAGCACTAACAGGTGTGGATCTAATTAGTAACAGAAAAGGAGTTCAAAGTGTAAGGAACCAGAATTTACAGTTTGAGAGTGGCCAGGAGGTGTGTATCATATTACCTTCCTCTCACCTGTAACAACAGGTTTGTACCATTTGTGCACTCAGAAAGTTTAACTACTGAACATATGACGTTATTTAGTTACTGCAACTGCTTAACAGCTTAGTCTGCAGTTCTTGGCAGAAGAAATTATTCATAGAACAACCAGTAAAAGTGACGCGAAGTGACAACACATTGATGCACACACACACACACAACCACACACCACACACACACAACCACACACACACAGCACACAAAAGTAGAGAAAGAAGTATGAGTTTTGCATGTGGTACATCCATACCTGTGCCAGTGCTTTTGATATTATAGTCGAGGACTGCTTCATTCTCCCCTCCAGCAGACACACACAGCAGGCTCGGCTGGGACGTTGCAGAGTCCTGAACAACCAGGAAACTCTGGAGGGAGACATACAGTGACTCATGTCAAAGTCTCAAGTGTTACGTAAGCTTGTTGAGCAGGAAAAAAGTTTTCTCTTAAATGTTCACAGTGGTAAATGTATGTGGCTCCATGCCAATCACGCAGCAAAGGAGGGAAACACTAAGGACTTCATGAATAAAAATCCACACTGCATTAGTGTTCCTATGACAGGACAGGGTTGATTTTACCTTAAAAATCAGTCACGATGACAGGTTGTAACCAAAGTGAAAGTCGTGTAAACAGCAAGTTTCCAAGGGTCCCAGGCCCACTCATGAAGCTGATAAGTGCCCACTCATGAAGCTGATATGACTCATAAAGGCCTGACTGACGCAGCTCTACAGACATAGTTGATCATCTGCATTTCAATTTGAAAAAAATGTGCAAAGTTTCCTCAATTATTAAGAAATAATCAAATTCAAAAAAAAAAATCCTTTTTCTCTATCTCATCTTCTTTCTATGAATGATGATGTGCTACACAATCACACAATTGTTGACAAAGTTAGAACAGTTTTGGACATTTTTTTTGTCTGAAGTAGGTGGGGCTCAGTTGGAAAAAGATGATGTCACATATTTCCATGCATCAATCAGAGTTCAGAAAGATTTGAATCAGTTAGATGTCTATAAGTCCTTGTGCTGCCATCATTTTTTTTTATTGTAGATAAGATATAAAAAAACATAATTTCAACAATCAAAATTGTAATAGCAGTTGCTTTTTTACACTGGTAACTGTGCTTTAACTGCACAGATGTTCTGCTGGTACAGACTTGAGGTCTGATCACATTGCCCTTTTGGAAACAGTGGCAGAAAAACTGAATAGGCAGTTAACGTTAAAGTAATTAACTTTGTACATGTAATCCCAAGTACAGCAAACCAACATCTCAGTCATATAGTTACATCACCACAACTGAATTCAGAGAGTCTCAAACACCAGCACGCATTTATACACACACACAGGAAGTGGCTTTCATGATTGATGTGCACAGAAATACAGAAGTTCACTGCAAGTCAACTTCACACGAGCAGCAGGGCAGCAGAGATATTACATGTAAAATATTCTGTTGATTCATAACGGCAACTTTTAGTCACTCATGCGTTTAACTCGTAGGAAGACATACTGGAAACTATTCAAGTGGAAAGAGCACTTTTTTTGGTTATTTAATGTTTATAAAACTGAGAGTTTCTACAGTAAAAAAAACCCCTAATGAAATGAAAAACTCATAAATTCCAAATACTCACATGTTGTTTGCTGCCAGTAAGAGTTTTGGATTTCAAATAACAAACAAATCCTCTGTCGTGCTCACATTCTCACTTGTCGCATGTGTATCCATTTTGTAATGTCATCTCTCTGATATGCACACGATTTTATTCAGCACTACTTCTGCATTCAGCCCCAAAAGAAGTGTTTGCTCATATGTGAAATAAAAAAGGAACTACTTTCGTGTCACAGTGATATGCAAGTCAGTGTTCAGTCAGGCTAAGAATACTTCTGCTGTGAAAGGTTCAGTGAAGCATACGGACATCCCTACATGCATGTGCGCGTGTTTGAGACCCAGCTTAAAGATAGTTTCTTAAAGATAACATTACATAGGTGAGAGGAAGCAAGAGAGGATCAGCCATGCAGAGAAATGGGGAAAGTAGAAAGACTGATGATCAGAAATGGAGCTAAATGGACACCTAATTTACCTAAATCCCCCTTCCGCTGTCTCTCAAATTTGCCTAAAAAAACAGGAAGATATTTCTGTAAAAAAAAAAAAAAGGCAGAGAAAGAAGACTATAAGTAATTAAAAAGTTCTCTCACCCCTTGTTTGTTGTACGATATGTCAAAATATAACAAATGAAGACAGTGGATAAAGTCCGAGACCACTGGCCCATTTAGAATCAGATGTTTAAATTTTAGGGTTCCACTTTTTGGATAATCCACCTACAGTTTCCTACAGTATTTGTGACATTTCAACAGCTTATTAGTTTAGATTTACAATTCAGCTGTTTCACAAATAAAAGTTGGGTTAAGTTGAGGCGCAAAAAACATCTTGGTTAGGGTATGTTCATGAATTGTTATATATATTCTATAGATAATCTGTTAAACATCTACAGACAAAGCAGTTGTTACAAGATAAAAATAATCTGCAGGCAGACTATCCAAATAAAGTTAATGGTGGTGATATAGTATTTTTGTAATAACAATACTGTATGCTTCAGGCATTGCGCTAAAAACATAAACCACATGATTTCAGCTTTCATATAAATTCATATTCCATTCTCTAATTAATTCATCAAGTTCAAAGGGCATTTTAAAAGTTTGTAAAGAATTTGGATGTGTGGATCAGTGACCGATTTACTTTAATAAAATCTCTAAACAAGTAAAACGGCATCAGGAGTAATTCACCATCATACTGAAGACTTGTTACATTACATAATGAAGGTCAGACTCCTTGATTGATTGATTTTTTGCAGCGAGAAGGAGGACAGCTCACCCCAGCAGGTGTTCCACAGATAGCAGCGTGGGCCCCCTCTCTATCCCAGGGTGACCCGGGGCACCAGGCCTTCTGACAGCCCCTCAGCTGCTCTAGCAGCGACAGTCTCCTCCTGCTGCTCCTCCACGGGATGGCTGTGGTCCCATTGACTGAACTGTGAACCGCCCTGGACACAGACATATGGACACGTTTATGTGCATGTGTAACTGTCTGCATACACATAAACAACAGATTAGTGCGTAAGTCACATATGGACAACAAAATATGTTAACACTGCTGATTCCTTCTAAGACAGACAAAATTAAATATACAATTCAGATTTTTTTTTGTGTGTGGAGGTTTTGAGTTTTATGCCAGATTTGAACATTCATTTTCAATAATCAGACACAAAAGGGAAAACAAGACTTAAAGCCAAGCTTATTGATGGTATAAAAATGGTTGATACTTACATGTGTTGGTCACTTCATGTATCGTCTCTCCTTCACACTATTAGCACACTTCTCCACATGTTGCAATCTTCTCTCTTGAATCCTTCCTTTCTGAACGGTACAAAATGTTGCTCAAGAGCTCAAAATACCAACATAGATAAAAAAGGAAGCTCACATAACATCCTCAAGACATTTCCTGGTGTGATGTGCAGAATATGTTGTGTTTCAAAATGCAAGTAACATCTTATGGCTGCCAGGTTTGTCTTCTTCTGTCAGCGGCAGATGCTGGCATTTAATGCACTTTCAGTTGTTATGTGAAACTGTTCAGCTGATTTTTCATCAAGGCACCTTCTTCGCCCTCCCCTCCCCTCAGTTCTGCATGTGGTTAACCCAGCTCACAGACAAAATAGACGGCATGTTCTCTAAAGAGCTAGGTGTGCCTATATTTTCTCTCTGCAGCACTCTTTCTGTCGTCTGCTCAGAAATGATGAATGGTAAAAACTGAACAGTTGTCCTGAAAATGATCACAACTGTGTATCTGTCTTACAGATTTGATCTTGCAACTGTTGGAGAAATGCACACACTTGATGCAAACAATCCATCAGTTAGAAATATTAATAAACTATTAAATATGTTCGTGTCTGTTTTATGTCATGCGCATACAGGTTGGTTTGCTAACTGTCCAACAGTTCTGCCTCTCACGGAAACCGCGGCTAGAGGTGTTGATGATTGGTCAACATTTCCGTGGCAAGCAGACTCACGGTCTTCCGTTTAAATGAAGCATATCACACTTTCTGTTTAAAGCATTTCCTGCCATGATCACTATGATCTGTATAGTGCAATGGCAATGACCGATATGGCTGGCAACAATGAAGCCAAAGCAGAGCCAAAAGCAACTCAACTCAATAACCTCAGAAGTGCTAGCTAGAAAATGGTCCCCCTTGTCCTGTTAAAATTAAGACAAAATGGCATAGATTATTGTTTTAATCATGTGCCTTGATGGAATTGATGGATTGTCATCAAATTTGGCACAGTCCATGTTCCCTTTAGGCAGCTAGATTCACAAGATCACACAAGAATCCATTTTGCCTGGGTTCAAACTGTCAACAATGGCAGCTGCTGAAGAGGTTAGCGTAGATGCTGCAAGTATCAGCTACATCAGAACTGGAGAATATTTTAGTACTGAAAGAAGAGCAAAGAACGACATTGAAGGCTTTTCTCGATGGAAAATACGTTTTTATTCTTCTCCCAACTGGCTTACTGCTTCGTTGGACTGGCTGAAGTTAGCCTGTGATAGGGACAGACAGAAGGTTCATCCAATCACCACTTTCCAGATGGTTCAGTGTAACAAACAATCTGGCACAGTCAAGTTAGATGAAACAACTGACATTATCTTGACTCTTCTTCTAACGCCATCACTAGGTCACATTTTTAATTTGTCGAATACAACACAAAACTAATGACATACCTATCATCTTCGGTGTACTTCATGTAGCGCTAGTTAGCGAATATTAGCATGTTAATCTGCCTCACTAAAACATACCTGTTAGCTTTGTCATTGTGAGCATGTTAGCATGCCAGTGTTAGCTTTTAGCTCAACGTCGTGGCTAAGCCAGAGAGCCTTTACTCGGCTGCAGACTCTTTATCAAATTTCTATTCCAATCAATTACATCTGAGTTTATTATGACAAAAACTACATTGAGACAATATAAGCACTGTTTATATAAAAGACTATGGACTTTAAAGATGGCGGAAAATCTTAATTAAGACTTTAATTAAATTCTTAATAAACTAGTTAAAAACTTACGTACATTTATTGTAAAATATTGTATAACATTAAATGTACTAAAGGCCTTCAAACAACACTATTTAACGTTAGCATAGTCAATTATACACAATAAAAGTGGCAACCATCTGGCAGACTTTCACAACTCCACCATATTTTGGCAAAGTCAGTCAACCTTTCCTACTTTACTACTTTGAATATGTGTGGAATAAATGATACTTCAGTTGGTGGTGCTATAGCTGTGAGTCATAACTAAGACTTCCAATTTACTGATCTTCTATTAGTGGTTCTTACTATTGGTGGTGGTCCTACGTGACAAAAACAAAAGCATTTCTGCTGAAGTGAGAACACTTCCGGTTTTTTCATGAGAGATTTCTGTGTTTTCTTGCTTTTCTCACCAGTTTTAAGTTGTGAGAAATGTTATGCCATTTCTATCTGTGAACCAATAAAAGTTCAGAAATATTTGAATCAAAACTTGCTGAGTTTCAACGCTGTGTAAAACTACCTAAAACTACTAAAGTGCCCTGATTTTATCTCATCATACTTTATATCCAGCTATTCTAGGGGTTTCTCACACTGGTGACTCATCGAAGTAACTGAGGTTTCATATCTTCTAATGTTTGATTGTTTTTGTGTGGACATTCACAATGTGGTCTCACATCATGACAACGTTTCCTGTTATCATTACTTGTGTACAGCAGCATATGGCAGTATGTGAAGCTCATTATAATCCAGTGTCCAATGAGTTTCTATATTCTACAAACCTGCCGCGCTAACTAAAGCCTGAAAAAATGACTCTGACACAGTCTCAACCAAAGTGAACATTATCGGCTTTACAAATTTATTGCAGGATTTTTGTACTGGTTTCCATTACTTTGTACAGATGGTAAGGTAGCAGTGTCCAGCCCCTGTATTTTTAATTTCATTATGTAACAATTCATGCTCTTTAAGACAGCCCACATGGTTCCCTATGAAATACCTTCTTGTACTTCACTACCTCATATTTTAGCAATTCTGTCTAAGGACCAACTGTAGAGAGCAAAGTCACTGTTATTTTGTATATCATGTACAGTTTGTTGCCGCATAAACATCTGATGACATTGTGTTTAAATTACAGAAAGTCAAATCAAACAGGAGCAGAAGGTTAACATGAAAAACAAAGTTAGTTTAAAACATTTTAAAAGTTCCACACAACCACTTACCCTATTGTTATATTTACAGCTATCTGTTCACCTACCAAGAAGTACTTTTAGGAAGTCACTGACCAATCAGGCCAACAGATTCTGGCTTGCAGGAAAAGGTGACAGATAAAATATACTTTTCTTTTGGAGAAGCTTAAATTGAATTCAGGTACTCAGTTGAAGTGGCTTGGCCCAAATCAGATGTGTTCAATAGTTGGTTGCCCCAGAAAGAAATATACAGTTGAGGCATATGTGAGCTAATGCCAAAAAAATAAGGAAAGTAGATTCATGTCAGTAAAGTGCAAATAACTGTTATAAACAGGAGATTGTTCAAAAGAATTAAATGTCCGCAGATGGAAAATGACCTTCATTTCCAAACAAAAGGCCTCGATTCATAATTCCCCTTTAGGGCCAACTCCAAACGGTTCTGTCACTATAGGAGCTTTTCTTACTAGTTAGTTACTCTTCCTTTTTGGGCTCTGGGGCCGCTGATGCAGAGCTTGCCTTGGCTGCAGCTCCTTTACTCTCACTGGCCTTCTCTTTCTTGTCCTGACTGTCGATCCTGGCATGCTCCTGCTTCACCAATTCTTCCAGCTCCGCCTGCAGAGAATCAAAGGCAGAACAAGGGATGTGACATGACACAGAGGACAGAGTGGTGAACATAGTGCTGGGCGACATATCAGATGAACCGGTACACCATTTCTAATTTCCTGTAAGATACGAATTCTTCATATAGCACCATAGCAGTGCATAGCTGAAACAACTGCTGTAACTCATCAACAGGCAGGCGCAGCAATGTTGTTTTCGTCGGGGCAAGCTGTGTAGCATGTATAGAGAGAGGAGCCTTATAAAGTATGGTCCCTTGTCACTAATGGTTATAACTTTACAACACAACAGTTAATAACCCACAACTAACTCTCTTTAACAGGCCAGAACACCATGGCATACAACAATTTGTGATAATTTTATTATTATTATTATAATTATTACTGCTAGAACATTTGAGATATGTCTCTTTGAATACTTAAACACTTGGAGTATTTTATGTCAGTTCATAGCGTTTATATAACTATTTTACAATATAAAAGGACACATTGTTAAAGTTGTTGGCATATCTATTGTTTTTAAGATCTTACTACGTTGCAAAAAACTGTGATTTACCACGAAATCTGCAAAATACTGTGATACGGATTTATGGTCAGATCTCCCAACCGTATGTGGGGCAGTGACAGTAAGAAAACCATTCGAGAAAAACAGCTTGCATGTTGCGTTTAGACGTCCCTCCACAGTGGTGCCTTGGTACCACAACATCACACAGGAAAATCATAAATAGGTTAGCCTGACATTTCAACAGCTCTCACCTCTTTATGCTGCAGTTCTACACTGACAAGACTTTGAGATTACTGCAGGTGCACGCTCTACTAAAGTGTTTACTGTATATTTAGACATATCAGTGTGCATGCAGATATCTTTAGATGAGTTCTACTGACATTGTTTAAACTTTACACTCTCATGTTTGTATGCTAAATATGAAACTAAATATGAGTCAGCAGGGGGTTAGCTTAGCTTAGCATAGAGACTAGAAATGGGGGAGACACGTTAAATTATTCACCTTGTAACACTGCTAATGCTCTCTGATTAACACGCTGTATGTTGTTTGGTTCACTCGCACACAAACAGTAGTTTGTAGATTGCAGCATCTCTTCTGGTTGCCGGGCAACTTCACAATGAGAACAAGACTCCGTAAGGTCATTGTGTCCAGCTGTGGTTCCCCACTTCCCCCGAAACTATTAATTTTGTTGTTTATGTATCTGTGTTTGTACAGATAGATTTAGATATAACAAACTAGATACAACATGTACATTAGTGGACCTTTTGTATCTTACTATTCCTTTAATCCTACATAGAGACAACAATACTGAATGTCAAAGTCCTTCAAATCTGACCTGTGTCACTTTGCTGCATGTCATCCCCTGTCTATCTTCTGCTGTCTTATCTAATAAAGGGGGAAATCCCCGCAAATATACATATATATATAAACAATACTGAGTGGCTGACATATGTGCAAACAGGAAAACAGTGATAGTACATCATGTTTCAATTACAGCAGTGTTTACATTGACTACCTTGTCACTGAAGTGATTACTGTACTATTTATCCTCATAATCATGTGCGATAGTTCTGTGGTAAATGGACTGTGCTCAAACAAGATTAATCTATGACTGTGTAACTCACCTTCCATCCCAACAGGTCAGCCAGAGCCAGACAGCCATCATCACATGTACTGATGTGAGCTACATCTCTGAAGAGAGAAAAAAAAAGCCAAACACAAAGTGGTTCACTAAATCATCATCATGGATAGCGCTATGGCACCCTCTGGTGGTGCAAAGGTAAACTAATGATGTCAGTTAAAACAGAATACATGGGCCCAGGGCTATATATGATTCACGCTGCACTAGCACTGGGTTAAAAACCCATTGAAACACACGACATGCGTCTATACATTAATGTTTACATTTCATTCCAAATTGGCACCTTTTTTTGGTGATAAGCGATGGGCTAAGTGCAGTGTGAAAAACCCTATAAGTTGCAATAGGAGGAGAAAGGTAATGTAGTAAAACAAGAAGAAGAGAAAAAGTAGCAGCATCTCAGTTTCATCATTACCTGTACGCCTTGTCTGAGTCGAAGTCCATCCCTCCTCCAAAACCCAGCAACCCGAACAGAGGATCAGCCTGCAGAGAGAAACACACAAACAATGCAGCACCGAGAATCCAAGAAATCCCTCTCTGACAGTAAAAACAGTGGGAACAGTAAGGATTCAGGCAGAAAGGGGTTGACCGAAGGGTGAAAGCTCACCTGCCCTGCCTTCTCCATGTTAATGAGCAGTCTGGGGCAGCTTTTTGAAACCCTAAAAGAAGAAGGGGGCAAACAAACAATTACTTAAAACAATATTTCAGTAACTGAGTTGAAGCTCTTAAGAGCAATCTTCAGTAAGGTCTAAAATGCAGTTGAGCAGACCCTCAGCATTCTCCCCAGAGACACTTCAACAAGACAAGATTATTACTGGAATCAAGCCTGAAGCATTCACTTATACTGCAGGACAGTCTCACTGGCTGCTAGACTGCAGTATGCTGCCAGATTATTACTGCACCAGTGTCTGTGGTCAGCAGCGCATTTCAGGAATATGAAACTTGATCGGCAGTACCTGCTGACTAGACCTGCAAATGGCTGGACCTGCAGAGAGGTCCCCATGACGATGAGAAGATCACAGCGAGGAAAATCCTGACAGGTAAATAAAGACAATGTAAAGAGTGTATTTCTGCACAGACGTTGCATCACATTCTCTTCAAACATACATGCTTACAAAACACCACCATGTGCTCACCATCTTCATTGAAGTGAAGAACCGGACGGGTAGATTCTCTCCAAAGAAGACGATGTCTGAGTGAAGAGAAGCAACAAGAGATACTGAGATATGGGGAGACATATCTACTTATGTAGCGGTCATGTTTGTAGTGTAAGACTGAAATGAAATAGAGATAACAGTTTGGCAGGTCTTTAAGGAAGTAGAATAAGTAAGAAAATGCTTACAGAAATAAACTGGACAATAGAAAAAGAAAAAGAAACGGAGATCCACCGACCTGGCTTGACCAAACTGCTGCACTTGTCACATCGAGGAATGTCATCAGAAAAGATTTTATCTACAAGGCAGAGGGAAGAGGTTAAACTCAATAATTCCAAGCTCCAACATATAAAAGTACATAACAAAAGCCACCCTTCACACCTTTCATCCAGTCCAGATTGTACTCCTTGCGGCAACAGAAGCTGACACAGTGGGACGTGTAGAACGTTCCGTGAGCCTCAATTAGATCGTCTCCCTCGAGCCCGGCCACACGCTCCAGTGTGTCAATATTCTGAATACACACACGTATCAATGTTAATACAAAAACAGAAAGAGTCAGTGTACAGTCTATGAAGTGGAGACGCTAGCTGGGTTTTTCCTACCTGTGAGTAGCAGCGTCTCAGCAGCCCCTTGTCCTTCAGCAGCTTCATGAAGTAGTGACAGACTGTCGGCTAAACACCAATATAAGAGAACAAACACCTGTGAGGCCTTTGATTGTTTTCTGTTACATTTCATGCCTAAATGTTCCGATATAATTTTATTATTATTATCATTTTTCACACAGAGATTACATTTCCAACCAATAACATGAGGCCTAAAGGGCAGTAAGAAATGTTTTGTACCTTAAACTGTCCTGGATATAGCTCCTTAGCCAAGGCGAAGAAAGGCTCTGGATGTTTCTGAGGTGGTAGACATGTAACAAGAGTGAAGACTGGAGTAAAAACCGCCTCATATCACAAAACAGGATGCTCTTCATTTAACTGTACAAGTATATACTAAGCAATTACCCATAGTGGTGAAGTGGTCTCAGGTCCCAACATTCTAACTTGATTGTTGTTTGCTCATTGTTCAATGACTTTCAGAGCATTTTCTTAAATGTGACACAACTGTCTCAAGTGTTGATCAATGAGGTTATAATTAAGGTTCAAGCAAAGCAGTCCTTCACAAACCTTAAAGTAATCTATCTGGAAGATGGCCTCTGGGTAAGGCAGGTTATATTTTTGCAAGTTTGCATACAGGCCAGTTCCAGGTGAGCGGAAATCAGGGATTCCAGCCGCTGTGGGTGGAGACGGTGTTGAGGATTACAGATTTTAAAAAATGAAAAAATGAAACAAACAAAGATGTAAAATATTCATTGAATGACGTAAGGGTTGGGGGGACTGAGATACTCACATGTGGATATTCCTGCTCCAACCATGCAGATGATGTTTTTACCTGTGTGGATGCAGAAAAACATACAATCCATAACTGCATTATTATAACAGGCTTGTAGTAAATCAGTCCACTGTGGTCAAATACATTGGATGAGCTGAACGAAAGCAGGCAAGGACTCACATTTTCCGCTCTGTATGTATCGCGCCACTCCTTCTAGAGTCAGCTCATCCAGCACTTTGTCTGCTGAGCCGAGGCCCAGGGTGCTGGAGAAGAGGTTACGCAGGAAGTCCACTGGCAGGATTACAGAGTAGAACCAGATGACAATACATTTGAGGATAAACTGAACACTATGCATGCGGACAATATCACACCAGTGCACAGACACTGAGACTTTACAGTGAAGTAGGAGACATCTCGAGTCCAGCAGGAAAACTTTAGAGATGAACTAAATTAGCATATTTATAGATTCTGTAATGTTTAATGAGCAGACTAAGGGGTAGATGCCTTTTTAAGGATGTAAGTGTTTATTTAAAGACTATTTGTATATGTGTCTTAATATGTGTATGGAGGGGAAACATTAAATAATAAATGAATAAAACAATGGAATGAATTTAAGCAGTACCTCAGTATGAGGTATGTGGTGTATAACCAGGTGTGGTGTTAACAGTTGTGAAGGATTATACTTTTGCTCCACTTTGAGATATGCATGTGATTTTACATACTCTCTGTGTCTCCTGCAGCCTCCTCCTCACTGCTGTCGTCTGATTGCTCCTGTGAACGACACAATACTGGCATTGAAACCAGTGTCTGTACGAGCAGTAAACAAGTGAATGGCTGCAGTCTTCATCTGAGATCGGACGGTGGCCGATGAAGACTGCTTTGTTTGGACACAACCCCACCTGATGTTACCTGCTGGCTCCACCCAGCTCGGCTCGCAGCTGCAGAAGTTATGGTCTTACCTCTGGTTCAGGCGTCACCTCCTCCTCCTCTTCTTCTTTTTTAGGAAGTTCTACAAGTGCAAAATCAAAATACCACGTCAAACTCACTCGTGCTTCCCCGTGTAAAGTGTCATGTTAGCGGCATAGCCAGCTAGTCCAGCTAGCTCGGTGTGGACTCGTCTGTTGTCCCATTGCAGCTGAGTTTTCTGAGCAGACAGTCTTCCTACCTGATGCATCAGACATTTATCCGTCTGCTGAGACCCTTCAACCACAAGGATCCGACTGACAATTAATTTAAATCTCTGATTTCACTAAAGCTACGACGGGTATCCACAACTGCTAGCGCTCAGCTGGGCGATCTTGTTGTTGTCCGTCAGAAACACGGTCCGTGTTTGTGTTGGCCCAGTTCCCATGTTATAATGGGTTCCTACCGCAGATCTAACTTGTCCGGTTAAATGTAAAAGTGTTTATTTACAAAATCACTTTTAATAATAAGTAATAGTAATAAAACGGTTTTTTTAAATATACATTTTGCGTACAACTTTAAAGTAGGCAATAGTACCTAAAATGCGGTGTGAAGTAGAAGAAGCTCATACAACAAGTTGTGTTCACATCGAATCTGGCTACCAAATCACTGTAGATGTCTTTACATACAATGTAGCAAGGATTTCTTCATCCTAATTCACTCTTGCCTCTCAGTGTTACTGGTGTGCTCCTCCGCCCAGTGTGGAGTCTGACACTGCTGCAGTACAAGGCTCCAACTGGATTATTGGCTTTAGTTTCCTCACATAAGCTTCCAGTGAAGATTAGAAATACATGCAGACACACTATGATGTGTGGCCACGTGGTTTTCATTGTCTGTTAAACATGACTTGTGGACTCACAGGTAAAGGTCGTAAATGTACAAAAATCATGATACTGAACAATAAAATCTTTATTCAATGTATTTACAATCATATTTACATTTCAGCAAATGAAATCATTACAGCATATGCAGACGAGTGGACTCTTTACTGCAAGTTGATTCTGGAGGAAAACCACAGAAGCAGATTGTGATAACATACTTTCAATGACAGATGCCAAATAATCCAAGACAAAATGAGGTAGTACACTTTAGTCCACCACTTGCTGTATTTTTTTTCTTTTTCACATGACTATGTCTAATTGGAGGTTGCCAGTGTCCAACCAAACATGACTTAGTAAGGTTCATAGTAGCAGAGTGTGTTAAGACTCTAATTTGTCTATGCTGGACTTTCTCTGTGATAACCGGCTATATTGCTGCAAAAATCTAGACTCATCGCCTCCTCTCTTCTTATGTCAGACGTTTCCTCTGAATGTCTCTTTGCTCCATCAGTGCCCTTTCTGTCAGACTACAGTGAATCGATGGCAAAGTTCTCTCAGAGGACTATTTCTGTCCCTTGATTCCTCAGATTCCCACCCTGTCCATCCCCTGCCTTATACGTGTGCCTCACTCTGCCACTCTCCTTCCTTCAGGCTGAGGTCGTAGCCAGTAGCGGTGATCTGGCACTGTGGTAACATCTCCTCCAGCAGGATAATGACCAACCCAGGACTAGAAATCCCAGGGAGGGACGAAATGTCCAGACGCCGCAGTCCCCTGTGACACACAAACCACACAAAAAGAAAGGATCTTAACACAACAGTAGTGTTTTGGTAATAATAACTAGACTACGTTGTGAGTGTTTGCATAATTACTTGAGATTCCTGAGTGCAGCCAGGCCGCCTGTAGTGATGCGTGGACAGTGAGAGATGTCCAGTTCCTCCAGAGAGTCCTGCAACACATGGAGCCTGGCCAGGAACCAGTCGTCCACTTCAGGGCATCCTCGTAATGACAGAGTCCGCAAAGATCGCTGCTTCTCTGAGGGAGGACAAGGCACATCAGGAACACTGAACTTACATGCTAAATATGTGGCTGACAAGACAGAGAGAAAATTAGGTTATAGTATAAGAAAGGTGATTTTAAAAGGAATAAAAGAGTTCAGTACCAAAGTTCTCCAGTCCTGTGTAGTTGATGAGTGTGTAGCTCATGTTTACTTCCTCTAGGGGTGTGTCTTTGTGCTCCATGAAATCCCAATTAAACTTGCCCCTGTGGTCTGCACGGAACCACTCAGACCAGCCAACATACCTGAGGACACAACGATCACACACATTTGAGACATGACTATTAAAACTGTCTTTGCTGCATTATTACGGATTATATGCAAACACATAGTGTTTTTTTAAGAGCTGTAATGAAATCAGTTGTATGATCACCTAAGCCCACATTTCCAAGTAACATAACAGTGCAGAGGCGAGGGGACAAGACACTTACCTAAATCCTCCCTTCATACTCAAGACGTAATGCGCTGCAGCAATGTCTGCCCCGAAAAGCCTCTGCCTGTAGCCATAGTTACTGTATGAGAAAGTAGGGAAAAGTTAATGATAGATATTTACAGTAACTTGACAAACTGCACCTGAAACGGACTTAGAGCACCCTGTCACAGTCACTATTTCAGAGCCTGAAGAATAGCAGGATTATGACCATAACCAATAGCAATACCATTTGTGTGCTCATTACAGCCACATTCAGCTCAGTATAAATCTCTGTGGTGTGCTCAGTGGTAACTGAGGTGATTTTGTTGTTTTAGTCCATTGATTCCTAATTGTGCCTATAATCCAGAGAAATATGAGCATTTATCAGGCACTTGAGAGCAGCTGCATTTCCTTTCATTCACCCTGTGCCAACTGGAGTCTACCCAGCACCAGACAGCAGCAACAACTGCTGTGGATGCACCTCTGGGTGCAAGACAGTCAAAACATCTCTTACAAATTCTTCTTCTGAATCCTCTTCCTCCTCAGCCGAGACCACCAGCTCAGGAGCATCTCCACATCATAGAAACGCTGGGCGAGGAGGAGGAGAAGCCTCCTGTGCAGAGGAGACGGAGACACTGAGCTGGAGCTGCACGGTCGCCGAGCAACGATGAGGAGGGCTGACCGCTGGAGACACCTGTGTAGAGACTGTAGATAGATAGATAGATAGATAGATAGATAGATAGAGAGATACAGAGATAGATAGATACGTTTAGATAAGAGATAGATAT